TCCCCTCCCAGAGCCAGGGAGAGAACCCAGGCGTCCTGGCTTCCAGCCCCTCCCCCTTCTAACCACTAGCCCCCACTCCCCTCCCAGAGCCAGGGAGAGAACCCAGGCGTCCTGGCTTCCAGCCCCTCCCCCTTCTAACCACTAGCCCCCACTCCCCTCCCAGAGCCAGGGAGAGAACCCAGGCGTCCTGGCTCCCAGCCCCGTCTCTACCCCCTGCAGGACCGGTGTGTGTACTGCCCCATGAGCGGGCGACCCCTCAAGCTGAAGGACCTGACCCCCGTGCACTTCACCCTGCTGGACCCGGACGTGGGTCGCGTCGGGCTCATCAACCGGCAGGACCGATACGTCTGCGCCGTCACCCGCGACATGCTGGGCAACTCGGTGCCCTGTGCCGTGCTGCGCCCCTCGTGAGTCGGGCTGTGGGTCGGGAGTGGGGGCACCAGCAGGGCTGGGCTAGAAGGGGCTGTGGGTCGGGAGTGAGGGGCACCGGCAGGGCTGGGCTAGCAGGGTGCTGCGGGTCGGGAGTGACGGGCACCGGCAGGGCTGGGCTAGCAGGGGGCTGCGAGTCGGGAGTGAGGGGCACTGGCAGGGCTGGGGGGCAGGGCCGGGCTAGAAGGGGCTGTGGGTCGGGGGTGAGGGGCACCGGCAGGGCTGGGGGGCTGGGCTAGCAGGGGGCTGCGGGTCGGGAGTGGGGGCATTGGCGGAACTGGGCTGGCAGGGGGCTGCTGGTTGGGAGTGAGGGGCACCGGCAGGGCTGGGCTAGAAGGGGCTGTGGGTCTCTGCCCCCGAATAGCTGTTCTCCCCCCCCCCCACAGGGGCGCGGTGGTCACCCTGGAGTGTGTGGAGCGGCTGCTGAAGAAGGACATGGTGGACCCGGTGAATGGGGAGAAGCTGCGGGAGGACGACATCATCGTGCTGCAGCGGGTGAGCAGGGGCCGGGTGCACCCCCCAGCCGGGAGGGGCCTCCCTGCCCGTTCCCCAACCAGCAGTGCGGGGGAGGGGTGGGGTGCGTTGGGGGGGCAGTGTCAGGGCAGCCCCTCTAATCTCACCCCCCCTTTCTCCCCTCAACTGTCTTCCAGGGCGGCACGGGCTTCGCCGGATCCGGGGTGTGCCTGGAAGCCAAGAAGTCCCGCCCTGTCATGCAGGCCTAGCCCCGCCCCCTCTTCCCAGAGGGCGGGGCTTGTGCCACACTGGGGGCGGGGGGGGGTGTTGTTTTAACATGGGAACCCCCAGCGCCACTGCCTGCCCTCCTGAGCAGGGAAACTGAGGCAGGCGCTGGGTCAGGGCCGGGGTGTGTGTGTGTGTGTGGCCGCTGTGCTGCTTGTCATGTATCTATCAATAAAGCCGTGTGTCCCCCGTAGCCCCCGTGGGTCTGATCGCTGTCACGGCCCCCTTCCGCGCCGCGTCTCCAAACTGACCGCACCCCACTCGCCCTCCGGTTCTGCCCCCCTCCGGCGCCCGCCTTCCGGCCGTCCTGCCCTCTGGCACCCGCCCTCTCCCGCCCTCCGGCACCCACCTCTGCGGCCCTCCCGCCCTCCGGCACTCGCTTCTGCAGCCTCCCACTTGCTCTCCGGCCCTGCTCGACGTCGGTCATTAACTAGCCATGGCCTAAGCCGCCCCGGCCAGGAGCTCTGCGCGTGCAGTGGCCCAGAATCCCCCAGGAGTAGGTCACCCCCCAGGCCAGGACCCTGGGACGCTGCCGGCTGCTCGGTACTTCGCCAGCTCCCAAGTTTGCCCCTTTCTAAAGACGGGCACCACGTTGGCCCCCCCGGGACCCTCCTGTCATCCGTTATCACCACCCTTGGCTCTGAGGTTTCTTGCAGCACCCGGCTCCTGCCCCCGCTGACTTGAATTCATTCCGATTGGTCAGAAGATCTCAGGCGGCTTGTCCCAATCTGCGTCCCGTCCCCTTTCTGGCCTGGGGTAACGTCGCTGGGGGCCGGTCCCGATATTTTTGGGGAGAAGGTGGGAGTGAAGCCGGCAGGGAGCAGCGCCGCCTTCCCGTCGTCTCCCCCATTCCCAGCTCGGCCCCCCAGAGCCAGTGCAGGCCGCAGAGCAAAGCCACCCGCAGCCCACAGCTCCCACCCACGCCAGCTCCCGGGGGCACAGCCTGGCTCTGCAGCCCACAGCCCCCTGCCCAGCCCCGGGGACCCCCCGCGCCCGGTCGAGGCCCTGGGGAGAACCCGCCCGCAGGATCAAAATGGGCGGGGGGGCCTCAAAAGGGGTATTTGCCCCCTGGCAGAGCGGGACTGTTTGAGCCAGGGGCCACTCCCATGTGCTTTGGGCCAGAAAGGCCCTGGGCCCCCTCTCCATCCTAGGGCCACCCCCCTAAGCCAGCCAATCCCTGCCCCCCCCCAGAGGGGAAAGGGCCAGATGGGAGCTGGTGCATGCCCCCCCCCATGAGGAAAGGCCCTGACCCCCCCCCAACACAGCACACTCAGCCTGGCAGAGGTGGGGGGGGACCCTGTTTATTGCAGCGTGTGCGTGTACAGCTCTGTCCGACCCCCCCCCCCAGCAGTCCCGACTCCCCCCCCACTCCCTGCACCCCCCGCCCACTCGCTGGCAACTAATGCCTGCTGCAGAAGGGGGGGGCTGGGGAGCCGCTCCTGTGCCCCGCCACAGCGACCATTTTGCTAGCATCCCCCCGCCGTGAGGGGCGGGGCCTAGAAACCTCGGTCACTGCGGGGGGGGGATGTGTGTGTGTCCATCAGCCCCCCCCCGTGTTAATACTGTTGCTTTTTACAGTGCAGGTGGGGGGGAGGGGTCTGTTCTGCCAGCAGCCCACAGGTAAACCGAGGCACAGGGAAGGGAATGGCTCTCCCTGGGCACAAGGAGCTGGGGATGGAACCCAGGAGTGCTGCCCTTCCTCCGCTCTAACCCCAGAGTGGTGCGGGGGCGGGTGGCGGAGAACCCAGGAGTCCTGGCTCCCAGCCCCTCGCCCCCAGCCTCCTAGTCCGTGCCCTACCACACGGCAGAGTAAATGTCACATCTCCAAATCCATATAGCCCCCCAATAAATAAGTCCCCTCCCCCCAGGGTCCTTGCAGTGGTGTTGTGGGGGGCAGGGGGGCCCGAGCCCCCCTGGTCACAGCTCGTCGTGTTTGCGGGTCAGATCCTCCCCGTAGTTGGTGGCTTGGCTGCCCACGAACATGTTCCAGTTGTCGAGGATCTCCTGCTTCGTCAGCCGCTCGTCCTGCGGGGGCAGAGCCGGTTACAGTGGGGGGGGTGTCCTGGCTCCCCCCTCCACCTCTGGTCAGCCCCGCCCTCTCCCGCCACTCACCTTGTCCTTGTCGGACTCGAAGAGCAGGTGCTTGGCCTCCACCTCGGGGTGGTCGTAGTCCTGGGGCAAAATCCAGTGGCCGATCTCGGCCCGGTCCAGCCGCCCGTCCCGGTCCAGGTCCCGGAAATCCAGGAACTGCTGCCGCTCGCTCTGCACCCAGTCGGGCTCCGGCTCGCCGCTCTCGGGGGTGTACATGTCGCCTGGGGGGGGGGTGTGGAGAGACTCAGGGCCTGGAACCCCCCCAGGCCAAGCTCCCGCTGTCTCCAACCCTCCCCCCAGGGATCCCCTCCAGCCCCCCCACTCACCGATGTACTCGTCCACCTGCACGTAGCCGTCCCCGTTCTTGTCAATGTCTTCAATCGTTTCCTGGGGGGGCAGGAATTAGGTGCTGAGCATCATGGGAACAGCTGTGGGAACACTGACCCCCCCTTCTCCCAGCCTCATCTTCCCTGGGGCTGAGGGGTTCTTGGCTGGAGACAGGAATTGGGGGATGGGGGGGTGCAGTGAATGCATCCATGGGAACCCAGGAGTCCTGGCTCCCAGTCTTCCCTGCTCTAATCACTAGATTCCCCCCTCCCTTCCCAGAGCTGGGGACAGAACCCAGGAGTCCTGGCTCCCAGCCCCCCCTGCTCTAACCCACCAGACCCCACTCCCCTCCCAGAGCCGGGG